ACAGTGTCAAGAGATAAGACTAAAGATAGCCAGGGATTTATGCACAGATTCCCTCTTAAAGAGGTTGGACTTCATCTTATAAAATATGAGGAAGCAGCAAAGGATTTTTAAACAGAGCAATGACATCATTGCATTTGTATTTTAAAAGGAGCTCTTTGGTAGCAGTGAGGAAGGTAGATTTGAGCAGGAGCCATTAARAGGGCTCTTGCCATATTTCATGGAAGAGATAGAATCTAAATTAGGACAGTGACAATAGACACAGGAAAGGACTTGATTTCTAAATAGTTAGGAAGTAGCATAGATAAGAATTGGTAACGTAGGCAGGAATTTATATCYCACAAATGACTTCACTTGTTCATTGGATCAGCAGATACTTATTGAATGTTTACTGTAGTTGGAAGCCTGTGTCTATAATATTATGTGGACCCTCTATTTTCTTCCTTGATCATTGGTGGGTTTCTTCTTCAATAAAAATTCTTTGTTATGCATGCTGTAAAGTAATTAGGAGGCAGATATACTTTCCACAGATCTAGTTCATTCTAACCCGATCTCTTGGCTTACTGGACTTTCTTATTTACTATAGAACCTGTTCCAGAGTCCTAGTATGTATGTCACTCTGCTACTTTGGAGGCAGTATTCATGTATCTGAAGGGTGTATTAACCCACACAGGAAGTGGACCTGGGCTGATTTGTGGCTTCTTTGAGTGGGTCTATGCAAGTCATGAAAAATATATACAATAGATTTCAAAGCATTTCAACCATATGGTAACCTTAAATGAAGGCAGTGGGACTGTGGGATTCCTGAGGCACCTACCACAATGGGAATAACATTTGAGCTGTGCTGTGGTTTAGATGTGAGGTGTCACCAGAAGCTCACATGTGAGACAATGCAAGAAGGTTTGAAGAAGAAATGATTGGGTTATAGCCTTAACCTAATCAGTGAATTAACCCCTGGTGGGATTAACTGAGTGGTGACTTTAGGCAGGTGGAGTGTGGCTGGAGGAAGTGGTTCATTGGGGGTGTCACTATGGGAGAGTGGAGTCTCTCTCTGCTTTCTGATCGTCATGTGAGCTGCTTCCCTCTACCACACTCTTCCACCATGATATTCTGCCTCATCTGAAGCCCTGAGGAATGGAGCCTGCTATCCATAAACTGAGACCTCTGAAACTGTGAGCCCCCAAATAAACTTTCCCTCCTCTACAATTATGCCGTTCAGGTGTTTTAGTCACAGCAGTGAAAAGGCTGACTAAGCAAACTCTTACAATCTTCATTCAGGAATGAACAGATCTAGACTATATCAGGATTCAGTTCAGCTGCATGTAACAAAACTCAAACATTTTAAATAATGAGATTTATGAAGTTTGGATGGAGACAGTCCAGGGATATGTTTATCAGGAACCCACCTTCCTACTTTCTTGGCACCACCATCTTGCAGCTTTTCCAGGCAGAGGAGGGAAGAAATTGTAAAAGGTAAAAGGATGTGTCTCCACTATCCCTCTTTTACTGTGCCTTTCCAGAAATCACATCCAGTTGCTTCCATTTATTTCTCATTTGTACTCAATTCCATGCCTACCCCTAGCTGCATGGGAGACTTATCAAATGTAGTCTTTTAAGTGGACACATAGCCAGTCTGAATAAAATCAGGATTCTGTTAAAGAAAAAGAGAGACTGGATAGTGGACAACTGACAGTCTACCATATGCTAGGCAGACTATTGACTAGTTTAACTACATAGTCAAACTGGTAACTAGTCTGCTGGAAAGGGCCATGATGGACAGATGTCATGGGCCTAAAGCAATACTTAGAGGCCAGCAGTACCAGGTTGGATCTCCCATTAACAGGAGAACATAGAAAAAAAAAAAAACTTAGTTTTATAAGTTCTCAGTATATGAATAATAGTTAAGATCATCAGAGTAAAAGCCAAAGATAGAAACTTGTTGGACATCAACATTTTAAGGAGACAGGAACAAGAAACTGAGACGAAATAGTCACAGAAATTGTAAAAGAGAAGAATATTTCAAGAATATCTGAGGGCTGGGGATATAGCTTTCCTCTCATGCACAAGACCACAGGTTCAATCCCCAGCGCCAAGAATATATGAAAGGATCAATTATGATAATTTAAAAAGAGCCCGTTGGATTTGGCAATTAGTTCCTCACTGGTAAGCACTTTCAGTGGAGAGGTGGAGGTAGAATCCTGATTAGGGACACTGAAAAGTAGCTGGGAGCTGAGAAGATGCACAATGTCTACACTGTAGGCATTTCTTCAAGTTCTAGTTCTAATGCTTCTTAGCTAAGTGACCTTGTTTTCTCTGTATTTTAGTTCCTTTGTTTAGCAAATGGAGCCAACAGTACCCTCTTCAGACAGTTTTCAGGATTAAATGTGTTAATATATATGTAACATCCTCACAGCAGTGTCTGGTGTGTGAAAAGTTCTCACTCAGTAAATGCTGTCACCATTGTCATTAGTATCATCTTTATTTTATTTTATTTTATTTTATTTTATTTTTGAGTACTGGGGATTGAACTCAGGAGCACCTGACCACTGAGCCACATCCCCAGCCCTATTTTGAAAAGAGACAAAGTCTCACTGAGTTGCTTAGTGCCTTGCTTTTGCTGAGGCTGGCTTTGAACTTACAATCCTCTTTTCTCAGCCTCCTAAACTGCTGGGATTACAGGCATGTGCCATCACACCTGGCATTAGTATCATCTTTAAGAAGCTTGAACCTAGGGGCAAAGAAAGTGATAATAAGTAGGTAGTGTTTAAGTACACTTGGACATAGGGTTATGGAAGTATATTTTCCCCCTTAATATTTAATGTCATATTCTTTGTTAAAGCTTATTATCTCTCTTCTACACTATAATTTCAATTATTTGCCCATATTTCTAATGCTGTGCTATAGTTTCTTAATCTATTGTTTCTAAGCCTACTAGGCTTAATGTTGGCTTCCTCTTCTCTCTTGCTAGACCAGATAAATATTTCTGTGAATACATCTTTCCTGAGTATTTATTTTTTAAAAAGAGATATCCACATACAGTTCACTTGATTTTTAAAAATCTGCATTTGTGCAAATGATAGCATGTGCTGTTTAGTATCTAGAATACACTATCTTTTAAGGATATTTTAAACTAGATAAAAACCTAAAATATATTTCTGTAATTAGTATGGTTGAGGAATTACTGATATTTCACAAATAAATGAAAAGTGACAGAACTTAAAGCAAGGTTTTAGGGCTTTGCAATATTAATAGCTTTTTTGTATCTGTTAATTCTTAGAATACTTCATAATATTTTAAGATATTGCTGTGGTTTGTGTCTTAAATTTGGGTCCAAAGGTCTGTGTTTTAAATTTGGGTCCAAAGGTGCAGGGTCTCTGGTCTAATTTCTAGGTCCTTGATCCACTTTGAATTGAGTTTTGTGCATGGTAAGAGATAGGGGTTTAGTTTCATTTTGCTGCATATGGATTTCCACTTCTCCCAGAACCATTTGTTGAAGAGGCTATCTTTTCTCCAATGTATGTTTTTGGTGCCATTGTCTAGAATGAGATAACTGTATTTATGTGGGTTTGTCTCTGTGTCTTCTTTTCTGTACCATTGGTCTACGTGTCTACTTTGGTGCCAATACCATTCTGTTTTTGTTATTACTATAGTTTTGTAGTATAGTTTAAGGTCTGGTATTGTGATGCCTCCTGTTTCACTCTTCTTGCTAAGGATTACTTTGGCTATTCTGGATCTCTTATTTTTCCAAATGAATTTTATGATTGCTTTTTCTATTTCTATAAGGAATGACAATGGGATTTTAATTGGAATCACATTGAATCTGTATAGCGCTTTGGGTAGTATGGTCATTTTGACAATATTAATTTTGCCTATCCAAGAGCATGGGAGATCTTTCCATCTTCTAAGGTCTTCTTCAATTTGTTTCTTTAGTGTTCTGTAGTTTTCATTGTAGAGGTCTTTCACCTTTTTTGTTAAGTTGATTCCCAAGTTTGTTTGTTTGTTTGTTTGTTTTGAGGCTGTTGTGAATGGGGTAGTTTTGCTAATTTCTCTTTCAGAAGATTCATCACTGATATATAGAATGCATTTGATTTATGAATATTGATTTTATATCCTGCTGCTTTGCTGAATTCATTTATTAATTCTAGAAGTTTTCTGGTGGAGTTTTTTGGATCCTCTAAGTATATAATATAATCATGTCATCAGCAAATAATGGTAGTTTGAGTTCTTTTAGGAAAACAATTATTCTTGCTTTCTGAGGTTTAGCACCCTGAACCTGCACAGGATAGTAGAAAGAACAACATGTATAAAAACCAGCAAACTTGAAAGGGTGAATTATTGGAAAAAATAGAGATTTTCATTTGTAGGCAAGGGGACTGTAGAGTTAAATGAGCCTGGTTTGCCAGTTCTGCTTTTGCTGTGTAAATGACCTTGAGTTAACTTCCCTGCTGAGTTTCAATTTCCCTGTCTACAAAGTGAGGGAAACACCAGCTATTTCCTAGGGTTATAGAGAATCAAGTAGTGAGTGGTAAGCTCTCAGTAAATGGTAGCTCCTGTTTCTGAAACAGTACTGTCATACTCTATCTTAGAGTAAATATTTTTATATTTGTAGTATTTGTATATATATTTCCTATCTCTTGCACTAATCATAAACATAAGCCCTGCAGGTTAGGAACTCTGTACTTCTCATCTTTGTATTTTAAACATCCAGCTCTTACCAACACACATAAAATGAATGTGCATTGTGTGTTGAATGAAATAATAATGAAGCCTCAATTTTTACTGACTGACTTGATAAGAAATTCATTTTTTTTCAGTTTCTTGTATATAAATTAAAACTTTGYAGTTATTTTCAGGTCATTGTTAGGAACATATTTTCTTCTTGCTCTTATATTTACAAATGATGACTTTTAATATATCACTTTGCATTATAGGCTTGAGTGAAAGTGTGGGTGTGTTTTTAACATGTTATCAATAATGAGTAATTGCCCCCCCCTTTTTTTCAGGGAAGTGGTTCAAGCAAACTGCGTTCACTGGAGAAAGAAGTTCTCATTTATGTGCAAAATGAGTGCCAGTGCTGCCACAGGAATCCTCGACCCATGTATCTACAGAGTATCTGTGAGGAAGGTATAAAAAGAGCCTATTACTTCTCCCATTTTAGAAGCCATAATTCCATAATTGCTGACTCGTTTTATTTGGCTCTGCTTTTGGGTTAGAACTGTGGTGATTCATATATAATTTTACTTCACAATTACAGCAATAATTTAAATTCCTATGACAAATATGATGAAGAATCTGAAGTTATAAATTAAAATATTCAAGAACCCTCATCTCACTACCACTATTCATGAATATTGACTTTATTTACATTAGTTTGGGGACTATGTATGTCTATATGCTGCCATTTATTAAGTTCTTGTTCTTTGATAGGCATTGTTCTAGGAACTTTATAAATATCATATCTAATAACAGCTCTCTAATTAGGTGTTATTTTCTTCATTTTCAGGAAAACTAAGGTTCAAAGAAGTTRTTTGCCCAAATTTACATTGTTAATAAAGGAGAAGGAGGAACTCTTAACACAGAATTTTCTAATTACAAATACATGTTTTGTTTTTTATATTTCTTTTCCACATATTAGATTGAAGTATATTACCAATAATCCACAAATGTGATAATGTCATCTTGTATGCTGTGCATGTGTGTGATGCTGCCTTTCAGGGTAAAAAAAGAGGAATCCATTAGTTACCACTACTAGTGAATTAATAAACTCTGGCTTTAAAATATAAACTTTGGCCAGGTGTAGTGGCACATGCCTATATTCCCAGCAACTTGGGAGGATGAGGCAGGAGGACTACAAGTTCAAAGCCAGCTTCAACAATCTAGTGAGACCCTAAGCAACTTAGCAAGACCCTGTCTCAAAAAAAAAAAAAAAAAGATGTGGTGGGGCTGGAGATGTGGCTCAGTGGTTAAATACCCCTGGGTTCAATCCCTGGTACAAAAAAAAAAGTAAACTATGTTTTATATTACATATTTTTAAATTACCAAAGTAATTTGCTTACATTGGCAAAAATTAAATAGAAAAAGATTTAGAACAAAAAGCAGACCCTTATCTTGCTTTTTTTTTTCACTCTAGTCCTATAGCCTAGAAAAACAAAGCTGTATGTTTAGTCTTTGTATCCTACTTTTTGAATGAACTGATAGCACTATGATATATGTGGCTATATTTATAAAATTCTTTTGTATTGCAGAGTCTGCTCAGTTAAAATATAACAAACACATGTGTATGTAAATAATTTTATAAGTTTGAAGACTTTAATGAAGATAGACCTCTTTAAATGGTCCTTTAGAGCAGCAGTCATTGAATGGTGGCGACCTTAAAGGAAGTCTGGTACARTGAGAGTGCACATGGGCTTGAGTCCCATTGGTCATGTATTAGCTATGAGACCTGAGGCAATTCTGTCCTGTAAAATCTATCTCCTCATCCAAATAAGGAATAATACTTTCTTCTTCAGGAAGGTATAGGGATTAGCTGATATATAAGTAGAGCATCCTACCATCATTCCTTTCTRCCTTGATGGCTGCTACTCTTTTTTTAAAACCTTTCCTAATTGGAGTTGTCTTTTTTAAAATTTTAGTTGTAGTTTTATTTATCTATTTATTTATTTATAAGTGGTGCTGAGGATCCAACCCAGCGCCTCACATGTCCTAGGCAAGCACTCTACCACTGAGCCAAGTAGTAGTAACCCTRGCCCTTCTAATTGGAGTTTTGACCATGATTTCTGAAAGATGACTTATCGGTCTTTGAATTTTAAGATAAATAAAACATGACAAGTTTAGAGAAAAGCATAACTTCAAATAAAGATACTCAAAGTCTGTTTTTAAAGAATAATAAGMAAGAACTAATAATACTACAAAGAATTTGGCTCTGATCATAAAAGCAAACACAAAAGCATAATATACTGAGTCCTAGAAATTCTTCTGAGTGTTTTATACTTAATTCTTGTAGCTGTGATGTTCTAAATACAAACATTTGGCAAATTACTACACACACACACACACACATAAATTCAAATAAAATATTGATATATATTATTATTTTTCCACTTTTGTCAGTCTTGTTTACCTTAGATAAGAGATTTTATACTATTCTATCTGTATGCTTTTATATGCACAGAGCATCTTTGGAATACTTTATAAGAATTGATAGCAATGGTTGTCTCTGTAGTGAAGTTTCAACTTGTTGAAATCTTTCTATAATATATGAGTATGCTTAACTGAGTAAGTAATTTAACCTTTTTCAGGCTTTTGCAATAGGCCTAGGGCCTACTTCAGTGTATAAATAAAATATTAGCTTGTCTTCTCACTATTTGTGTTGTTCTTATTAAAGTTACATGCTACAGCCACATATGGTGGCTTGTGCCAGTAGTCCCAGCTACTCCGGTTGTTTGCTTGAGCTCAGGAATTTGAAGCCAGCCATGGCAACATAGTGAGACCTCATCTCAATAATAATAGTATTGATATTAAAAATAATAAATTTTACATTAAGTAAACATTCTGGTCATTGGGGGAATTTTGAAGAGTCTATACAGTTAGATTTAAGATCATTAGATTTTAACTGTTTTGTCAGCATATAAATATCTACTTTGGCATTGTTTGATGTATGTTTAATTTTAAATCCTTAATTATATGATGTCCTTATAGTGTCTTCTATGTTTGGCAGGAATTAAAAGGTGGAAAAGCTTATGCAAAGGTAAGTGGATGTTCTTTAACTCTTGGCCTATGTAATATCATTCATCACTATCTATAAACTTAATTCTAATTGATGTTCCAGATTCACTCATTTTGAGTAAAGCAATTTAGAGGTTAAACAGTTGGAACCAACAATCAGTTATAGGCATATTCTTTCTAAATGCTTATTATGAGATGTTATTTTKGGGCTTTAGCTTCCCTCTTAGAGAATGACCTCTGGTTTTCTTGAAGCTATAGCTTACTGATAATTCAAACTGTCTTTCCTTTGTGGTATTCCCAGGATCCTCCTCTGTACTCTCTTAGCACTCTGTACACATTCATCTGTTGGTGTTTGCGAAGGATTGGTTCCAAGGCTCTTCTCTCCCCCAGGATAAAAAAAAAGTTAAGCCTRTTCAAATCCCTTATATAAAATGGCATAGAATTTACCCAGGAGGCTGATGCAGGAGCATTGCAAGTTCAAAGCCAGCCTCAGCAACTTAGCAAAACCCTAAGCAATTTAATGAGACTCTGTCTTAAAATACAAATAAATAAATAAATAGGGGCCGGGGTTGTAGCTCAGTGCTTGCCTAGCACATGTGAGGSACTGGGTTCTATCCTCAGCACCACCTAAAAATAAATAAATAAAATAAAGGTGTTGTGTCCATCTACAACAAATAAATAAATAAACAGACATAGTTCTTGCCTTTACATGTATCCTCCAATATACATACCTTATAATGCCTAATACAATATAAATGCYGTACATAAAGTAGTTGTACTATATTGTTTAGGGAATAATGACCAGGAAAAAGTCTGTATATGTTTAGCATAAACAAAATTTCTAAAAATATTTTCTATCCAAATTGGTTAAACCTACAGATTKAAAACCTATAGATGCAGAGGGCCAACTGATATATCACTACTTCCTGTTGATGMTTTTACTAGCTACGTGAAATTACTAATGAATATGCTCATTTTTTTTTTTTTGCTGATTGAAGGAATGAGTAAGCAACACATGCTCCTTTTATTTCCAGTCTCTGGTATTTTCATCATTCCAGTCATATAAGCCAAGAATCTGGACACTAATTTTTTTTYCCCAGTACTGGAGATTGAATCCAGTGGTGCTCTACCACTGAACTACATCCCCAGCCCTTTTTTATTTTGCAAATGGGTCTCSCTAAGTTGCTGTGACTGGCCTTACACTTGCAGTCTTCCTGCTTCAGTCTCCTGAGTAGCTAGGATTATAGAATGCATCATTGTGCCCAGCTCTGAACCCTAGTCTTAAACACTAAATCTACTAGTTTGCAGTGTCAGCTAAGATGTTCTTTGCTACAAGTAACATAAAAACCTCCTCAACTAGAGGTTTTTTTTTAAATCTCATAAAACAAACATGAGACAGAGCTGCTTCAGGACTGGTTAATCTACTGATTGAAGAACATTATCAAGACCCCAGATTCTTCTCTTTCCATTATCTCATTCTCTTCATGATGGCTTTGTTCTTGGCTAGCTCCTCTCCTGAACACTAGGTGTCTGGCTGTTCAGCTTATAGTGAGCACATTCACTTTTGACAGAATTCAACTGCTTCTCCATGCATTGCTTCTTTTTAATGAGAAAACTTTCCCTACATGGCCCTCTGAGGATTTTCCCATACTTGTAACTGGCCAGAAGAGGGTCATATGCTCACCCCTGTGCCATCTGTGGCTATGGGAATGGATTGCCATGGTTATCTTAGACTAACCATAGTTTAGTAATGAGGTAGGACTGGGTTACCTTTCTTGTGCACATGGATGAACTCAGGAGAGTGGACACCTGAATACAATCAAGGCTTTACTATCAAGGAATAGCAGGGCATTGAATGTTGGGCAGGCAAAGAAGGTCTGTGATGGCTGATAAATCCTCTTGAYTTTTTTTTTCCTTCTGAAAAGCTTGAAGCTATACCTTCTATCTACYGCCAAGACCACTGCCTTGGGTTATGCCTTCATTATTTCTTATTTGCAGTCTGTGTTGGCCTCCTGTCTGGTTTCTCTGCTTCTGTCGTCTTCCTGTATCCTCCGCCAGAGTTGTCTTTCTAAAATTAAAACATAATCATATCATTCTCCCACTTTCAGTCCTTCAACAAGTTATTCTTTGCTTCTAAAGGAAATTTAGAGTTCTATAACCTAGCATGTAAGACCCACTTTGGTTTTCAAATTATTTCTGCTACTTTCCTTCCTCCACAACCACCCATCCTTATGAGACATTCTGCCGTCATAAACTTCCTGAGGGTCTTATGCTATTTTAGCTTCTTTGCCTTGTGACTTGATGGTGTCCTTACTATGCATGTATTTCTCCCTCCCCCTATCCTGTCAACTCACGTATCATTAAAGACTCAGCTTAGTCATCCTACTCCACTGAAAATTTTTCTTCTTTCTTATAGCTGTGTCTTCCTCTATCACCGCACTTGTCACACAATATTGTAGAAATTTATTTTATTTTTCTGTTTTCCCACATTAATCTATGAGAGTAAGAATGATTTTATAAAGGCTGAGAGTGTAGCTGAGAGGTAGAACAGTTGCCTAGCATGCACAAGGCCCTGGGTTTGATCCTAGCACCACMAAAAAAAAAAAAAAAAAAAGTCTCTATTCCCAATTACTAACATTACCTGGAATTTAAATGCTGAAAATTACTTTCTGAATAAATTAATATCTACCACATATATACAGCTTGTGTATGTGTGCGTGTATTATTATGTATTATTCTCATGTGTGAATTATTCATCTTAGTGAAGCCAGAGAAAAAGATATAAGAGAGTATTGGCACTTTGGTCCCTTGCTAGAATGTAAGTTCTTTGAAGGCATAGTATTTCTGCTATTCTCTACTATTTCCTGTGTCTAGAACAGGGCCTGGGACATAAAAGGTACTCAATAAATATTGAACTATTCATTGATACCCTTCAGCCTAAAACATCATACACTAACATATTCCATCTTTTAACTGTTTTAGTAGGGAGTAGGATCTTAGTTGGGGATGCTTTAATATATTATCATAGATTGGGTGACTTAAACAATAGACATTCATTTCTCATGTTTCTAGAAACTGGAAAGTCCAAGATCAAGATTCTTAGAGCCAGGTGCAGTGTTCCTCACCTATAATCCCAACAACTCAGGAGAAGGCAGGAGGATCGAAAGTTCAAGGCCAGCCTCAGCAATTTAGTGAAATCTTGTCTCGAACACACACACCCCCCCCCAAAAAAAAAAAGACCAGGGATGTAGCTCAGAGGTAGAGTTGGGTGTTCTACCATTAAAAAAAAGAAAGAAAGGAAAAAAAATTCTGACAGATGTTGTGTATCTCATGAGAGCCTACCTCCTAGTTTGCATATGGCCTCTCATGGCAGAGTGCAAAGAGGAAGCAAACTCTTTCCTGTCTGGTTTTTTTTTTTTTACTTCTAGTTATTGAATCCAGAGGCTCTTTACCACTGAGCTACATTCCCAGCACTTTTTACTTTTTATTTTGTGATAGGGTCTCATTGAGTTGCTTAGGGCATTGCTAAATTGATCCTCCTGCCTCAGCCTCCCAAGTCATTAAAGGTGTGTGCCACTGTGCCCAGTTTTTTCCTTTTTTAAAGGGACATTAATTTAGGATTGGGGGTACAACTCAGTGGTAAAACACATGTTTAGCATGTGCAAGGCCCTAGGTTTGATCCCCATCACCAAGGCTTCATCCTCATGACCTAATTACATTCCAGAGACCCACCACTTTATACCATCTTTTTGGTAATTAGGGTTTCAATATGTGAATTTTGGAGAAACACAAACATGTAGTTCATAACACAGACAGATCAGGTTTTTTCCAACTTAGTGAGTATGTAATACTAGTATTATTACAGTGGGTGGTAAGTCAGTAAGCTGTCTTTCATTCAGTAAATATGTTGTTAAGTGCCTACCATGTGCCAGACATTTTTGCTGACACTATTCTAAGTACTAGAGATACCGCAGTTAGCAAAACACACAAAAATCCCTGCCTTTAATGAAACTTATATTCTAATTGGAGGTGACAGAGATGGRGGAGGACAGACAACAAAATAAGTATGAAATGTATGTGGACATGATATAACAACTAAGGAGAAAAACAGAGCACATAGGGGTCGAGGGCAAAAACTTTAGGAGAAGGGAGGAAAGGGGGACACATTTCAGGATAGCCTGGGAAGGCTCCTTAGAGAGATGACATTTGAACACTGACATGAGTGCAGTGAAAGAGAAAGCTACAAGACCATATGACAGTTTCCCAGGCCAAAAATTTAAAAAAAAAAAAAAAAAAAAAAAAGAGCTAAAGGCCTTGAAGTGATCTTGGTGTTTTCAAAGAACAGGACATTGTGGCTTGTAGACTGAAGACAAGGAGAGAGGGAGGAAGTGAAGTTGTCCTAGGACAGAGGAATCAGAGACCATGTAGACAGCTTGTTCAAGGAGTTTTGTAGTTGTTTGAACAGAGACAGAAAAATGATCCAGTATTCTGGAGAGAGAGGAGATTTTGGTTTGTTTTGTTCATTAAGATGGGAGAAAAAACAACTGAGTGTGGTGGCAYACAGCAGAGACTCAGAAGGCTGAAGCTGGAAGATTGAAAGTTTGAGATCAGTCTCAGCAACTTAGCAAGACCCTGTCTCAAAAGAAAACATAAAAAGAGCTTGGGCCAGGCATGGTGGCACATGCCTGTAATCCCAGCGGCTCAGGAGGCTGAGACAGGAGGAACTCGAGTTCAAAGCTAGCCTCAGTAACAGCAAGTTGCTTAACAACTCAGTGAGACCCTATCTCAAAATAAAATACAAAATAGGGCTGGGGATGTGGTTGACTGCCCCTGAGTTCAATCCCTGGTACACGCCCCCCCCCCAAAAAAAAGAGCTGAGGATGTAGTTCAGTGGTAGAGGGACCCTGGATTCAATCCCTAACAGTACCCCCACATAAAGGAAAGATAGGAGAAAATCCAATGTAATTGTATACTGATGGGAATGACTCAGAAGAGAAAGGAAATTTTAGAATGCCAAGGAGCATAAAGAACTGCTAAAATGATGTCAGGTAGGCAGGAGGAGAGCAGTTGGCCTTAGGAACACAGCCAGTTCATCTCAGCACTGTAAGTGGGTAGGCACATACAGAGCACAAGGGCAGGTAGGAAAGTGGATGTGGCCGGCAGTAAGAGCTTGTGGAAGTGAAGTGCTTTTTTGATTGCTTTTATTTTCTGAGTGAAATAGGAAGCAAGGTGATTGGCAGAGAGAAGACAGGAAAGAGGTGTTGGAGATTTAAAGAAAAGGGTAAAATATGAAATAGGGTGGTTGATAATGTGTGATCAAATAAGTCACATGCATCTGCATATGCTCAATTGGATATTGTTTTGTCCTGGATAAATCCAGACTTTTTCTGCTGATTCGTTGGCCCAGAAAAGCAATAAGACCAGAGCGTACTCATATAAAAATGAGGTATATGTTACTTGTAACTTGATTATGCACCTAACTTACTGCATTTGGCCCTTCAACTATACTCTAGGTTCTTACTCTTCATTCTTCCTGTACGAGTTAAAAGCTACTGAAATAATGCTTCAGTCTTCAATTAAAAAATTCATCTCGGCCATGTGCAGTGGCAAATGCCTATAGTCCTAATTAGGCTAAGGCAGGAGGATTGCAAATTTGAGGCCAGCCTCAGCAACTTTGTGAGAACCCATCTCAAAATTAAAAATTAAAAATAGGTCTGGGGATGTAGCTCAGTAGTAGAGCACCCCTAGGTTCAATCCCCAATACCACTAAATTAATTAATTAAATTTCRTCTTGAATGCCATTTATATGTGCCACTGTTTTAAAGCCTTAAAGCAAACAATTTCAACAGGGTTTGAAATGTATAGTGCATTTTATTATAGGTTCACAGAGATGTGCTTGTTCAATTCATGTTTTTGTTATTAAAAGATTAAGCCAGGCATGGTGGCTCACCCCTGTAATCTCAGCAACTTAGTAAGGCAATAAGCAACTTAGCGAGACTATCTCAAAATAAAAAATAAAAGGGCTGGGGAGGTATCTTAATGGTAAAGCACCCCTGGGTTCAATCCCCAGTACCAAAATAATAATAATAACAATAATAATAAAAGATTCTACATATACATAGTCATATAAGGCAAGATAGTGTATTCAGGAAATAATGACATAATGGGWTTCATTTGTTTTGCCTGTCAGAGACGGGATAGGATAGAGCAACATCAGAAGAAGGACTGTAGAGCAACCTTTGGTAACTGCAAAAGAAATGAGCACCAAACCTGTTGTGTTAGTCAGCTTTTCCTCACTGTAACCAAAATACCTGTCGGCAATAACTAAGAGGAAGTAAAGTTCACTTTGGCTCATGATTTCAGAGATTTGTTCTATCACTGACCAACTCCATTGACCTAGGTGAGGCAGAATATCATGGCCGAAGAACATGGTAGCTGGGCATGGTGACTCACTCCTGCAATCCCAGTGACTCCAGGATCTGAGGCAGGAGGATCACAAGTTCAAAGTCAGCCTCAGCAATTTAGTGARACCTTAAGGAACTTAGCAAGACCCTGTCTCAAAAAATAAAAAGAACTGAGTGATTAAGTGCCACTGGGTTCAAGTACCAAGAAGAAGAAGGAGGAGGAAGAGGAGAAGGGCTTTACTTCCAGAGTTCACTAGATCTTCAGTCCATCAAATGAATTAATCCACTGATGAGGTTACACTTTTTATAATTCGGTCATTTCATCTCTACCCAACACATTAATGCTTTGGAGGACACCTCATATCCAAACCATAACACCGGGGTAGTAATAAAAAAGAACATCAGGTTTGAACTATATTTCTGGGTATCAGCAGAGAGGGTGAGTGTAAGCCAAAACTATAAGAAAGGGAGGGAAAGTTTCCATAAGGACAATCAATCACCAAGGCAAATGTTGTGAAAGATGGGAGGATAAAAGAAGTTTGTACCAAAGAAAGTGTGTAGCTCATTTAAATCATCCTACTACTTGCACAGAGTGAGAACTTTAATCTGCAACTATGTGCAGTTACTAGTGGTTAGCTCTTCCATAGAGCAAGAACCAGAATAGAGGGGATTCCGATCATTTTTCTCTATTTATATGCAAATGATTATTGTTGCTGTGATAGTATTTCCCAGTGTGGTGTGTCACTGCTACTTGCAGTGATGTTATTTGTTTGATATGCATTAGTTGTACTACAACAGAAATGTATTTATTTTAATGTATACCGAAAAATATTTAGCACATCAAATCTATGATATTGGAGATCTTGCTTAAGACAAGAATAGAATAAGTAATACATTTTTATTAAAAATCCAACCAATTTAAGGGCATGTATAAAGCAAATAATAGAATAGGAGTTGTTAAAATGGCAAAAATTGCAAAGGATCAAATTTTGAGAAAACTTGTATAGAGCATGGACTGAATATTTATTTTACAGAAAATATGACAGAATGTGATAGAAGCCTACTAGATATTCTATTAATATAATTCTCTTTTTTTTCATAGCTGGGCTTTGCAGATCTAAACCTGGCAGAGTTTGCTGGATCAGGAAATACCACTCGTCGCTGTTTACTGGAAGGCTATGATACCAAAAATACAAGGCAGGATAATTCCATTCTTAAAGTAAGCACCCAAGATTGACATGCTGACAAATGAGAGTCTCTACCTTTAAATAAGCAGAGGTATATACTGTCAAAGACAAGAAGTAAATCAGTACTGAAATCATAAGCTGACCACACCACCGAAACATTCACCATGAAGGGGGAAAACTATCCAAATCACAGAAGCAGTGAAAAGTAACCAAGTTTACCTTTGTGACCTTAATGTGTTTCTTGTCATGCTGCAAGATTCAGAGAAGAACACAAACAGACTACTACAACACAAGTGCTCATTGGGAGGAAGGAGCACAATGAATGGATAGATACCTTAAAATGCTTATAGCTCCCAAAAAGTGATTTCCAAAGCAACTGTGATGGATTCATGGCCGTTGCAGGGTTTCCTTGTAACTAGGAGAGTGATAGAAAAAACCTACTTCTGAGCATCTGCCCTATTTTTCCAAGTACTATCATGAACTACATGTTCTGGTAAACACTTGAGAGACTATACACTTCACAGTGTTGAACAAAATACTAAATAAGATCCATTGAAAAGATACTTGGAAAGTATCTTGTGCCTAATAAAAGACATAGGATAAACCATTTGCTATATTTTAGTTTCTTGCTTCACAATGTGGTAAATTACCTAATAAGAAGAAAAGGAAATACTTTTAAATAGAAACTGGATGCTTTTTATTCAGAAGTTAGTGCAGCAAAGAATGATCTTATACCTATAGTTTCCCAAACTTTGTTTTTAATAAATATTTGACTCTAAAAATATAAAAATTCATGAAATGGTTTTTATTTTTTTTAATATTTATTTTTTAGGTATGGATGGACACAACACAATGCCTTTATTTTTAAGTGGTGCTGAGGATCGAACCCTGGTCCCGCCTGTGCGAGGCGAGCGCTCTACCGCTGAACCACAATCCCAGCCCATGAAATGTTTTTTATTGTCAGTCCATCCCTCACATGAGTTTAGCAGCTTTAAAGAAAGATGAGATGGGTAATTAATATGGAGTAATTAATATAAGATGGGTAATTAATATGGAGTAATTAATATGGGTAATTAATATGGTAAAAGAAGATAAAAAAGAAATTAGAAAAGCATCATGCTATAAGCTTTATGTTGGTTCTATAGTTTTATGGTTAACTCTGAAATATCTCTATGAGATAGGCAGGATTGGGTAGATAGGGAAGATTTCCCTTTTTGTAGATAAAGACACTGAGACTCACTTAAGTGTATCACAGAAGTAGTCGGTGGCAGACCCGAGGCCAGAATGCATGGCTTCTAATACCTGGTCAGTGGCCTTTAAATTCATTTTATTACTTATATTTCATGAAGTCTGTCTCTGAATTATACTGTTTTCATTGGAGAGTGAAATAACTATAATTTCAGAGCTTCACATTCCTTAGCATCAGCTCATAGAGTGGTTTCCTTCTGGTTCCCCAGTGATTCCTCTGCACCATTTCTCCCACTGTGTCTTACAAAACACACCTTTTTGAAGGTCACACCAGTTATCTGTAACTCTCCCTCCCTTGCTGATGTCTACTGACTACCTAGTCACCTTCTCTCCTATTCATTGGTGACATAGCTTCAAGCTCACAGGTTTTCTCTTTATCACTTTTCCTGTTGTCATTTTTGAGTGACCTTACAATCTATGCAGGCGAGCTATCTTTGTGGATGTGTTGTGAATGTATATTCTCTTCTAATAGCTGATCTTAAATGTGCCTAAGACCCTCCTTTCCTTAAACTGCCTATTTCCAGCAACATTTTCTTCCTCCTCTCAATTCTTACTCCCATGATCACTTTCTGGGTTGTTGTTATTTTTTTTTCCCCTAGGGCTGGGGGGAATTGAACCCATGCATACTTTATCACTATATCCCCAGCCCTTTTTAAATTTTATTTTGAAGTAGGGTCTGACTAAATTGCCCACATTGGCCTTGAACTTGGGATCCTCCTGCCTCAGCCTCCTGAGTAGCTAGAATTAGAGGTGTGTGCCTGGATTTAGGCTTTCTTATCACTAGAAACTTTACCACTTCCAAATTTTCATTTTGAAGTTTTCCCCTCTCTTCCCACTGTCTCCTATGCGCCTAGCCCCTTTGGTTTACTCACTTAGCTATCTTCAGCACCACCACTTTCTCACTTTGCCACTTTCTCACTATTAYCAGCTCCCACTTCCTTTCCCTTCTGTCTTGATCCATTTTAGATTCCATGGTTCATAAGTATCATAGTCCTAATACTCCTGGCACCTACGTCTATTGCTCTCCCTTAAGTAATCTCCAACCGTTATTGAATTCAGCTGTCTATCTTCCCCTACTTGCTGGAAAAGACATGTAACCAGGCTAGCGGCCATTACTGAAATCACGTTCACAGCCAATCCACAGTCATACTCTACTTCCTTTCCCAATTTTTTAAAATGCATAATAAACTTGCTTTATTGAAATATGGTTATCAACAAGAAAAAAGTAAACTGAATCATCACAATTATTAGTTATTAATAGCTACTATATTTCAAAATCAGTACAGTGTTCACTAAAAATAAGAATTTCATTAAATTCTTCACTATATTTACCTTCAAACCCCAAATTAGATTATTGGGAAGAACTCAATAATTTCTTTTGTATCCAAACTTAGTTTAACTGTTTTGATTTATCGTGTCTGTCTTTAAAGGATTTTTAGATCCTTTTCAGTTCATAAGTACGATGATTGGGTGGGTGTTCATGCTGTARTGTGAGATGTGCCCCCTTCTAACCCTTGTTGTGACATCAGCACATTACCAATGTGATGTTTAAAAAAAAGGCTTTTTATGAAATAATTATCTTATGGAAAAATTAACTATCTTTAAAAACAAAGCTAGCCAGGCACAGTGGCACACACCAATTTCCCACCAGCTTGGGAGACTGAGGCAAGAGGATTTCAAGTTCAAAGCCACCCTCAGCAACTTAGTGAGACCYTCTCAAAATGAAAAAATTAAAAGGGCTGGGAATGTGGCTCAGTGGCTAAACAACCCTGGGTTCAATCCCTRGTATTAAAAAAGTGGGGGATGCTAATTCCTACATATCCACATGAATCTATTCTGAATACCTGTTATTTATGGAGAGGAGAAATGAGTGCCTGAAATTGATCCCAACTCTAGCACTCACTCCTGCTTCCAGTAAATCCTGGAGCAGCAATAATCTAATTTGGGGTTTGAAGGTAAATATAGTGAAGCCATCTGAAGTGAGCTCTTAAGTATCCTCATCATTAACTCCTAAAATTACCAAGCTAACTCCTTCTTTCCTTTCCTCTAATCAATTAATCCCTCTTCTTTTCAAAAATAGTCTCTAAATTTGTGTTCTTGATTCTGTGTAGTCTACATTCTATTTATGGATTGCCTCCACCACTTCTTTCCTCTTTATTTAGCACCAGTGTCTTAGAATTATATTTTCTTCCTTTTTTGTTTATTAGTTCATTATAGATATAAATAATATTAGGGTTCATTTTGGTATARATATACAAAATGAAGTACAATTTATTCCAATTCATTCCTGAGCACATCCCCTCTTCTCCTCCCTCCTCTTGTTCCCCTTCCTGTACTCTACTTATCTTTTTTCTATTTATTTATAGCTTTTTTTTWAAATTAGTGCACTATGGATAYACATAAAGGTAAAACTCACTGTGGTATATTCATGTATATATGTAGGAAACTTTGGTCAGATTCATTCCACCACTCCTCCCTTTTCCCATCCTTCCTCCCTCCCCCTCAATTTCCTTTCTCTATTCCACTGAGCTCTAGCCTATTTGCATACCTTTCCCAATTTTATATATTCTTTTTCATACCTTCTTTCTCCTTATACCTTTATATATCTCTCTTGCCCTCAGCTCATGCCCTTGTCTTATCCTTTATTAAGAAAATAGAAGTCATTACATTCAAATGCCCTCATTTTCCCATTACCAAACTTACAATTCTACCTGTCTCTCCAGACTCACTATCCTTTTCACCCTCTATTATAGCAAGTGTCAGAAGTTCATCCCTCCTCTCAGCCTCTAGAATCTAAATCTTACCTAATCAAGGGGTTTTCTCCTTGGATTATTCCCTCTTAAGCATCTCTTCTAAGGATCCATTCTTATCAATGTATAAAAAAAACAGTTCTTTATCTGTCTCCCTTTGTGTGTGTGGTACTGGGGACAGAACTCAGGGACTGGTGCTTGCTAGGCAAGTACCCTACCACTGAGCTACACCCAGCCCTCCCATATTTTAAAAAGCAGACACAAACCAGCTCCTCATCTCTTCCAGCTACAGCCTTCTCTGTTCTTCCGCACTGTGCAGTTTCTTAAAAGATGTCTGTGTCATCTCCATCTTCTTCCTAAGACATTCAGGATATTCAAGAGTGCTATCTTGATGGAATTGTAAGAAAGAAGAGGTGATAAGGAAGGTTATGTTTGACATTTAAGGAAAAGAGGAATAGTAATGGATGCACTGAGGGAAGAGTTTTCAATGAAATAAGGTTATAAAAGATACATGTTAGCCATTAACTGGAAAACATGTAATAACATATTCATATCCTATTATTCATTAAGACCTTGAATTTGGGTTTTATGCAGTCCTGGGTTAAGACCTCAGCTCTTCCCTTTGCCAGCTCTCTGATCTTGAAAATATAAATCTCTTTGAGCTTAAAATGAGAGTATCACTTTCTCATGGGAGTATTAAAAATTAAATGAAGTGCTACATGTAAAACCTTTAGCTTATGCCTGTCCCATGATAAATTCTCAAATAATGACCATTTTAACATCATTTTTATTACCATTATTATTCCCATAAGAATGTGAAATAGTCCTATGGGTGATTCTTAAAAAGTAGTCAGCACCCAGAGAAAAGCATTTCAAAAATGAAGAAAAGCTCTAAATCCTGACCTAAAGCAGAGGCCAGAAGCTCTCTGARAAGCCACCAGCAGACTCTTAAGCAGCACAGGAGTCTGGGAGTGAAGACATGAACTAGATGAGCACAGCCACACACTCACAAGAAGGATTGTTACTAGAGAATCACTTGCTTTTGTTTTCATCTCTTCCAATCTGATTTTTGTAATTATGATTTTGAATGTTTAAAGTTATTTTTAATTTTTTATCTACATAAAGCAGTAATTTAATATTGGGTATAACCAATTTGACTATCATTTTATCTAAAGCTTTATAAATAGAAAATAATGGGCTTCATGTTGTGGGGGAAAGAAAGATTCATCATACATAGCTTTGCTCTTGAGAAATATTTTCTAATTATGATATTTCTTGTTCTTATGTTTAGGTTTTGATCAGTATGCAGCTGATGTCTGGTGACCCATGTTTTAAAACGTAAGTTGATATCCAAAAAATTAGTTACTTATCTGATAGTATAGCAGAGATTTGTTTAAATGGTAAGACCCTATCTTATACCCTACGGAAACAACATTGAACAAAATAGACTAAGTCACTGCCATTTTSTTTTGTTTTGGTTTGGTTTTGGTACCAGGGATGGAACCCAAGATTATTTAAACTCTGAGCCACGTCCCCAACCCTTTCTATTTTTTATTTTGAGACAGGATCTTAATTTCTTAGAGCTTCACTAAGTTGCTGAGTCTGGCCTCCAACTTCCAGTCCTCCTGCCTCAGCCTCCCAAGTCACTGGTTAACAGGCATGTGCCACCACACCTGGCAGTCATTGCCATTTTGGAACTCATATGTTACGAGGAAAACAAATAACAAAACTTAAGTAAATATATATAAACATGATGATAACTACTTTGGTAAAAATAAAGCCAGGTAGCAGAGCCATAGTGGAGAGTGAGACTGCTATTTTATACCAAGTAGTCAGGAACAGACTCCCTAGTCAAGATGATATTTGAGTAGAGACCTGAAGGAGATGGGAGGCAAGTCATGCAGATATTTAAAGAAAGAGCATTTGAGGTAGAGGGAACAAGGCGAAAAGCTGTGAGAGAGAAGTGTTCTTGGCATGTTTAAGTGACTGCCAGGAGACCAGTACATCTAGATCAGAGTGAATAAAAAGGAGGGTAATAAGAGGTAAAGTCAAATGATAGAATCCTGCAGGCCATAAGGACTCTACTTATACTCTGAGTGAGATAAAAAGCTAATGGAAGCCAGGTTGATGGCACATACCTGTAATTCTGGCAACTCAGGAGATTGAGGCAAGAGGATCACAAGATTAAGGCCAGACTCAGCAACTTAGTGAGGCCCTAAGCAATTTAGTGAGACCCTGTCTCAAAAAATAAAAAGGGCTGGGGATGTAGTAGCTCAGTGGTAAAGCACTCTTGGGTTTAATCCCCCATACCAAAAAAAAAAAAAAAAAAATCTAATGGAAGTTAGACATGGTGGCACGTACCTGTAATCCCAACTCCTTGGAGACTGAGGCAGGAAGATTGCAAATTTAAGATCTGTTTGGACAACTTAGGCCTTTTCTCGAAATTAAAAATAAAAAGTGGTAGGGATATATTTCAGTGATAGAGCAGTTGTTCAGCACACACAAGGCTCTGGGTTTTATCCTCAGTACTAGAAGAAAAAAAAAAAGATAATACAAGTTTCAAGCAAGGAGTACAACTATCTGACTTAGGACTACTAGGTGGAGAACAGATAATTTGAGGGATCACTGGAGGGTACCAAAACAGGTAGATAATTAGACTGAATCAATAGTCCAAAGTCTGGGGTCTGAGTAGCAGGAAGAATGTTTTCACTTACTGAAAAACCACAAAAGGAACAACTGGGAGCTTGGGCATTAGACATGTTAAGTTTGAGAACCTGTGTAATCCCCAGCAGGGCGAGTTAAATAGGCAGGTGAATATATCAACGACAGGCTGCAGGCATAAACTGGAAATCATTATATCATCAGCATACAGATAGTAATTAAAGCCACGAGGCTTAGTAAAATGATCTAAATGGACTGAGTATAAACACAAATAAGGAAAGGGCCATAGTTATAGTGTGAGACACTCACTCCAGCATGTAGAGGTTGGGGAGGTGGGAAGAACCAGTAAAGGAACAAACAGTGAGCCAAGAGGAGGGAAGCAAAGGAGAGAACTTCCTGAAAACCAGTGAAGAAATGGCCAGAAAGGAGGAGCAGCAGCTGGAGGATATACTGCAGCAGTAGGTCTCAGAATCTGAGAACTGATTTGGCATCTAGAGACATGGATGACTTTAACAGAATTTTGGTAGAATGTTCTTAGACTAAAGCCTTTTCAGAATGGGTTAAAGAGAGTTTGTGAGAAAACTGGAAACAGCGAATATAAACAACACTCTGGGGAATTTTGCTGGGAAAAAAAAGGAATAAAAAGATGGGTTCATAAGTAAAGAGAAGATATGGGGTGGGGCGGAGTTTATTTATTTTTTAAAATGGGAGCTTGAACAGCCAATGGGATTGGCCCAATAAAGAGGAAGAAACCAGTGATGGGAAAGAGAAAAGGGRCAGTTGCTGGACTATCAAGAGGAATGAGGGCAGGGAACGTGGCTGTTGATGCAGATATGTGAAAGCAGATGGAAGTTCCTGTCTAACTGCTTCTGGTTTCTTAGTAAAATAGGAAACAGAATGATCATTACAGCAAGGACAGGGTGGGGCTGTGCAGAAAAAGGAAAATGATTGTTACAGTCTTAGATTGTGAGGTGAACTGGGGAAATGCAGTAGGATTGCCTGTCAGCAAGCTTGAAGACACTTATTAATTATAAATGAAGATTGATTAGATATTATTTAAACATCTAAGAAAAACATACTTAGAAAGTAAACATTTACTTCCCTATATATGAACTTTGTGTTTTTAATGGCTCCTACTATAACTTAGGAAGTATTGTCCGTATAGTTCTCTAGTTTCACACTGTTTTGTAAAGATGAAAATATGTATTTTAATACGAATCTATTCTCGATTATACCTGTAGAGCCAGGTGCAGTGACACACACCTGTAAGCCCAGCTACTTGGCTACTGAGGCAGGAGGATCTCAAGTGCAAGGCCAGCTTCAGCAGTTTAGCAAGACTTTGTCTCAAAAAATTTAAAAAGGGCTGGGGATGTGGCTCAAGCGGTAGCGCGCTCACCTGGCATGTGTGCGGCCCGGTTCGATCCTCAGCACCACATACAAACAAAGATGTTGTGTCCGCCGAGAACTAAAAAATAAATATTAAAAATTCTCTCTCTCTCTCTGCTCTCTCACTCTCTCTTAAAAAAAAATTTAAAAAGGGTTGGGGATATAGCACAGTGGTAAAGTATGCCTGGATTAAAAAAAAAAACTATACATTTTGCTATAACTTCTATTTTCTCACAAGCCATAAGTTCCTGGTTCATTATTTACTGTTCTCTTAGGATTAAACAGTTTTTGCTATACTATTTTTATTCTCTCAGATAACAATTTGTTTTCTAGTGGAATCAGTTTAGGGTTAAATAAGAAAATGAGCAGCAAAACCTAATAAAACAAAATGAATTCATTATTCCTTCCTGTGAACCTTTTATGAACCTTTCTGGCCCTTTCTTTGCATTTTACTTCTCTACTTAGGAAACTCCCATATCAAAGAGCTCAAACATAGATGCTCTGATCTTCTGTATTATCTCTACAAAGATAATTCTGACAATATAGAATTTATAAAGACTTTGGTAATAAGCATGAGAATAAGCAGGGGGTTGGGGAGTAAAGCTTAGTGGTAGAGCACTTTTCTTTAGTGCACAAGGCCCTGGGATCAATCCCCAGCACCAAACAGAAAAAAAAAATATGTTAAGTACTCTCCCTTGCATATTCCCAGAATCTCTTTGGGAGCATCAAAAAGCCAGTTTTTAAAACATTGGTATAAATGGCTTTGTTGCATGCCTCTAGTCCCAGCGACTTGGGGGGCTGAGGTAGGAGGATCACAAGTTTGAGACCAGCTTCGGCAGCTTAGTGAGAACCTGTCTCAAAATAAAAAATAAAAAGGGCTGGGGATATGGCTCAGTAGTTAAGTGCCCCCTGCATTCAATCCCTGCTATCAAAAGTAGATAAATAAATAAGTAAGCTGAGGATGTAAGTTCAGTGATAAAGCACACCTGGGTTCAATTCTTAATAGTAGGGGGAAAATTTGATGTATATGCCYCAGYTATCTCACTACTGGGTATATATCCAAAGGAAATKAAATCATACATCAAAGCTAYCTACACACCTATGTTTATTACAGAACTATTTACAATAGATGAGACAAGGAATCAGTTGAAGTGTTCATCAGTGAGTGAATGGTTAAAACAAATGTAATACATATCCAYAATGAAATATCATTCAGCCATTAAAAAAGAATGAAGTCCTGTTACTTGTGGCACCATGGATGGAACATGGAGAATGTTATGGAATAAGCCAGGTACCCATATCTCACTCATATGTTGAAGCTTAAAAAGTACATTCATAGAAGTAGAGAGTAGAAGAGTGGTCACCTGAGGCCAAGAAGAGTAAGTGGAAAGGGTGATAGAGGAAGGTCAGATTAATGGGCGCCAAAATACAGTTAGGATGAATGAGTACCAGTGTTCTGCAGCACATTAGGGTGAATATAGTTGACAACAATTTATTATAACTTGTATAAAGAGCTAGAAGAAAGGAGTTCTGAAGTTCATAAGACAAAGAAATGATAAATGTTTAAGGAGGTAGAAATGATAATTACCCTGATTTGCTCATTACACATTGTATACATGTAACAAATTGCTGCACTGTACCCCTTAAATATGTATAATTTTTTAAAAGTATTTATAATCCAAATTGTCACCTAACAGATGAAGAAATTAAGGCACAGAGGAATTGAGGGACAACCAAGTATCTTTGTGTAAAGCAAACATGTAAATAACTGCTGGAGTGATGCATCCAACTCTTCTCGCTGCTTTTGTCTAAAGTTTTTCATGATGTCAAAATTTTAGAATATACTAGAGAAACTAATAAGAGTACAGCAGGGCTGGAGGGATAGCCCAGTGGTGAGGCACTTGCATAGCCTTTGTGAGGTTCTGGGGTTCTCTAGCACCACCAAAAAAAAAAAAAAGAAAAGAAAAGAAAACAAGTCAAGCTTAGCATCATCAAATTTAAATTCTAGTTTTAATATTTTGTGAACAGAATATCTGTGACATAGATTGTATAATTTTTCTGAAACCCATATTGTGTACCATAAAACAGTATTATGAAGAAGATAGCTGGTCAGCTAACCTAACCACCTACCTCTAATCTCCGTTTTGTAGTTCCCAACAACTCAGCAAATAGCCAYCAATTCTTATAAAAGGGGGAACTGACTCTGAAAAGTGCTGATGAAGAAAAAGTATATTTTGAGTGAGAAATTGCATACTATACTAGAATAATCTGGTGATAAAGAAGATTAGGAATGATGAGACTCTTGAATTATACAATTCTAAAGCATTTGTATTCTAGAAGAAAGGGGCTTACCATTTGTCATAATGATTTCACAAATGTTACAGTCTCTCAATTTAATTTTTGAAACAGCTCTGTGATGTAAGTATCATGCATATTTTTGAGGGAGGGCATTGGGACTGAGGTTTAAGCAACTAATTTGTCCAGAGTCTAAGGAACCATTCATTGATTGCGTTGATTTCCTACCTCGTGCTGACAGATGGGTCCCTGCTATGACTGAATTCACTGCTGATTTAGGAGACTTACACATGGCATATGATGTAATTGGGATCCTAATCACTGTTCCTTGAAAGCCTGGTAAATCTTCACTGAGGGAGTAACACCGAGCTGAGTTTGGAAGGATGAATAGGAACTCATTAAGCACAGGAGGTGGGTAGAGACATTTCAAGAAGAGAAGGCAGTTTGCTTAGCACATGGCATATTTATGGAATGTCTCATGGATAGTATTGTCATTATAGGAGGTCATCCCCTACACTACTATCTCCTCTCCATATTCTTTATTTGGAGCAGAGGAAGGTACTAGGGACAGAACCCAGGGCCTTGCATATGCTAGGCAGACACTACCACTGAGCCATACCTTTGGCCCTGTGTATTTTTTTGTTTTCATTTTTAGAACTGGGACCTAGGAGTATGTTATCACTGAAATACATCCTCAGCCCTTTTTATTTTTTTGAGACAGGATCTTGCTAAATTACTGGCCTCAAACTTGCAATCCTCCTACCTCAGCCTCCAAARTCACTGAGATTATAAGCATGCACTACCACATTCAGCAAGATTTTAGATTCCTAATTTGCTGTACTATCAATCCCCAGGGTCAGTGAATTTTCTCCATAATGCTTAATTGTCCCGATTTTTGAGTAGTTAGTACAGATGACTGACATTGTCAAGAGTTAGGGTTCCTCAGGTTTTCTGAGACCGCAGAACAAGGGGTACCAAATTGAGGTATTGCTCAAAGTGCTGGGCTGTGGAATTAAACTGGATGGGCAAGAGTGGAGCCAGAGGAGACTGATAGGGACGAAGCCAAATTTGGGGAGTTCTGAAGGATTGGAAACAGGTCCAGGAGCTAGAGAGAGAGAGASACTGTAAACAGGTCACCTGTGAAAGGGAAAATGAAGCAACTGGAATTAAAAAGATAAGAATTTCTACTGTCATATATAACTAAAAAGAACAACAAACAAAAATTTGGTCACACAGGAGTGAGTCAGSCATCGATGATTAATGACTGTGAATAAAGACTCCATTCTTTTTATGCATCTTCTACATATTAGTTTTTCCCATGAAAAATTGAATATAGAGTGGGTTTTTTTTCATCAAGCTCTTGTACATAACTTAAAAATGTACATAACTTTAAAAAATTGTTAATTAAAGAGGTAGGTCTGGGCAGAACTGAAAAGGGTTCTTATATGCCATTCTAAGGATCTTGACCATTATCCCAAAGGAGCCATTGAAAAGTTTAAAATCAGAAAGTAACATGTTCAAAGGCACATTTCAGAAAGCATGGAGTGGAGATCTGAACCCAGTTAGGAGACTCTCAAAATCACCCAGGAAAAGGCACAATGGTGGAGAAGAAATTATAACTAGGAAAACTATTGGAATCTGGGGTTTAGAGGTTGGTTGGGTATAGAAATATAGTAGGAAGGAGACAAAGGCAATATCCAGGACTTTAGTTTTGGTGACTTTGTGGAATCTGATGGCATTCACAGAGATAGAGAATATAAGAAGAAAACAGCTTTGGGCAAAGAAGAGTTTAGTTGGGCATATATTGAGTTTGATGCAGTTCTTGGACCAGTCCTGGTAAACATCCCAATAGAGCATGTAAGACTGTAATTTAGGAAATCCTCAGCTGAAAACAGTCTATAAGTTAAATGGATTTGATGGCAATCACCCTGTTGTGACGGCACATGCCTGTAATCCCAGTGACTCCCGAGGCTGAGGCAGGAGGAAAGTTTGAGGCCAGCCTTAGCAACCTAGGGAGATCCTGTCTCAAAATTTTAAAAAAGGGCTGGGGATATGGCTCAATGATTAAGTACCCCTGGGTTTAATTCCCCAGTACTAAAAAAAAAAGTTAAATAAAGTTCAGTATGCTATATCAATATATGCATAAGCATGCACTGACCAAATCTAGCCTCACTCTATGATGGCAGTCTTTAATCTATCCCCCAAACCTAAATAGCCTGAGAATTCCATTGAGATAATATAATAAGAATTTAAATATTACCATAAAGTGGGCCAGCTTCACAATCCCTTCAGTCATCTTCCAGTTTTATCTCAGATCACCATGGTATAATTTCTAGGAAGTTGTTGTTTTCCTCTGGTTAGAGATGTTTTACAATGGCAGGGCTGGGGATGTGGCTCAAGTGGTAGCGCGCTCGCCTGGCATGCGTGCAGCCCGGGTTCGATCCTCAGCACCACATACAAACAAAGATGTTGTGTCCGCTGAAAACTAAGAAATATTTAAAAAAAAAGAAGGTTAGAGATGTTTTATAATGAAAATCCCTATTAAAAAGAAAATTATTAAAACTCAAACCTGTCCCTCCTTGTTTCACAAATTCTACATGGAATAGGAGGAGCCCTGAATTAGCTGAGAAAAATAGCTGAGGTCCATCACCTCCCAGAGAATCCAGCCCCAAAAGCAAAATAAACTATCAGGGCTCTCTACTGACTCTCCTGGATCAGGTGAACTGTTTACAGAGAGAAAGGTAGAAGAAAAAAAGCATGGGCACTCGTTAGGAGGTTGGTGGGCAGGAGGCATGATGTCATCTCCTAGCCTCAGATGCAGAGGGGCTTGGTGCCTTCTTCATCGGCTCAGAGGTGCCTCCCACCTGCATTGTCAATGCTGGGTGCACGCTGCTGTGGGAATTCTCCCTTTTCAGGACTTTATGCAGACAGTGCCCTTTCTACTCTCACTTATTTTRTTGTATAAAAAAACCCTTTTTCCCCCATGAATTTCATTCAAGCTTTTAAGAGATGATTATGCATTATTTGTTGATTTTTATTACTTCCACCCTCAAAAGATTAACATTCCAAGTCAGCTTACCAAGGCAGTGTACTGACTACACAGGCATTCCTTAACTGTTTTCAGACTTTCAGGCTCTGATCCTTAGAAATGTTTATTTACAGACCTCCCTCTACATCGATGTCAATACCAATTGCTGGTGAATCTGAGTCTCTGGAAGAAGACAGGAAAGGTGGAGAGACTCTCAAAGTCCATCTTGGAATAGCAGGTACGTATGCGTAGCTTACTGATTTTTTTTAATTTGTGAGAAATAGTATTACTTGATCTCCTAAAAAAATCCCAAAATTCTTCCAGATTTAAATTTGTACTTTTAAGAATCAGGAGAGTTTTAATTGTGCAATTCTTGGTAAGCCAGTACTTTATTTTGTCTAAAGTGATGTGCTTTGACAGACTGAAAAGCTAAATATTGAGTTGACACCCACCCCCCATCATGTGCCTCTCCTCCCAACAGATGCAACAGGAGACTACAGATTTTTCCCATTCCACATGCCCAACAACTTCTGCCAGTCACCTCTCAGGTGATATCAGCACATTAGGAGCTAGCAGGCAAATTCTCAGGTGTTGCTTCTCTTCCAGAAATCACTTTCCCTTACCAGTGGTTCCCAGCCCTTAGTGTGTGTCAAAATCACCTGGAGAACTTGTTAACACAGATTGCTGGCACCAGCAGCTATGCTTTTTGACTCAAATAAATATCTGGGTTGGTTCCTGAAATTTTGTATTAAAAGCAAATTCCCACGTAATGCCTATGCTACTGGTCCCTGGTCCACACTTTGAAATCTTCTCCAGGCAAACTTTCAGCAARTCACAATCTGCTCTATGAGTTAAAAACAGGGTGGCAAGATGTGAAGTTGGCTGGAGGAGGACTTAGGAACCTCTTTCTATCATCCAAGTTATGTGAACCAGATCTATTTATTGTTTTAACAAACAGAGGGTTGGAAATGTAGATTAGTTAGTAGAGTTGCCTAGCATGCTCAAGGGAGGCCCTGGGTTGCATCCCCAGCACTGCAAAAAAGGGGGGAAAATACACATACATACAAAGAAAGAAAGAGAGAGAGAGAGAGAGAAAGAAAGAAAGGTGAAGTGATGAGATTAACATTTTCACTACCTTTTCAAATATGCAGTGATATAGTGTCTTACAGATAATGGTGATTGAAAGTTCCTGATCAGCAAGTCCTTTGGCTACTCTTAGACCTTTTAATAAGCTCTTTCTCTTTAGCATGTAAATGTTCTTAATTCTTTCTTACATTGAGAAAATAAACTTTAAAAACCCATTAGCCCTACATCCTTCTCTGTCTACTGCTGTGCTGTAAACTCCAGCAGGTTCGTGCTTGTCATTTTAGAGATAGATGTCTTTGTATATTTGAAGAAAGAGAGAAATCATCAAGATATACATATRTATATAGATATATAGGTACACACACAAATAAATTACATATATCATTCTTGATAACCAAAAACTTCCAGAAAGAATAGACTTCTCATTAATTTCTTTTTTTTTTTTTTTCTGTGCAATACTGGGTACTAAACCAAGAAGTGGTTTACCACTGAGCTACATCCTCAGCCCTTTTTATTTTTTGAGACAGGGTCTCATCAAGTTGCCCAGACTGGCCTCAAG